GAGGCGGCGGTGAGGTCGAGGGCGGCGGCGGTGAGGTCGAGGGCGGCGACGGTGAGGTCAAGAGCGGCGGCGGGCGGCGGCGGTGAGGGCAGGCTCGGGCTCGAGTGGTGGCGACAGAGGAGTAGGGAAACATGGGGGGAAAGGAGGACTTAGCAAATTTTTGAGCCCGCGGGTGGTTAAGTCGAACTAGCAGTAGCCTCTTAAGGAAATGCGCTATAACTAATTTAGCTATAGCGCGTTTTAGAAAAACGCTACTGCTAAAGGAAGCATTTATTTCTTTTATTTATCCCAATATCAGTAGCGCTTTATCCTGGAAAAATGCTATAAGTCTAAGCATGTAAAAACATCAAAAATATACATTGGTCATCATTGATCTTTTTGTGTAGAATCTAAATAGTCAACATGAATCTTCACCGTACCTGTATAGGCACAGGCGAAGATTCATATTGCAGCCACAAATCCTACGCATATAGTTCAATGAAGACCAAGTGCTCAAAATAGTTTGAGAAGTAACATATTTAAGGTGGTAAACACCTTGTTCGCCTAGCAGGATGGGACTAAACTTAATTAGTTGCGGTGATACTTAGCAGCAGCGAGTTTTGAAGAAAAACGCCGCTACTGAGTACTTTAGCAGTAGCGCGTCTAGGAGAAGGGCACTACTACTATATCTGAGGCAACACCCTGGCAATTATAGTAGTAGCGCTTGTTTCACCTAGAGCGCTACTGCTATCGGGATGTTAGTAGCGCGGTTGCCTGGAGCTCGCTACTGCTAATTAGCAGTAACGTTTGTTTTTAAACAACGCTGCTGCTAAGATTCTGTTACTACCTCTTGAGCACTGCGTTGGTTTTCCCTTGAAGAGGAAAGGGTGGTGCAGTAAAGTAGCGTAAGTATTTCCCTTAGTTTTTGAGAACCAAGGTATCAATCCAGTAGGAGATCACACTCGAGTCCCACGCACCTACACAAAAAATAAGAACCTCGCAACCAACGCGATAAAGGGGTTGTCAATCCCTTCACGGTCACTTACGAGAGTGAGATCTGATAGATATGATAAGATAATATTTTTGGTATTTTTATGATAAAGAGAAATAAAGATGCAAAGTAAAATAAACGGCAATAGAAATAGCTGTGTGTTGGAAGATTAATATGATGGAAGATAGACCCGAGGTCCATAGGTTTCACTAGTGGCTTCTCTCAAGAGCATAAGTATTACGGTGGGTAAGCGAATTACTATCGAGCAATTGATAGAATTGAGCATAGTTATGAGAATATCTAGGTATGATCATGTATATAGGCATCACGTCCGTGACAAGTAGACCGAAACGATTCTGCATCTACTACTATTACTCCACACATCGACCGCTATCCAGCATGCATCTAGAGTATTAAGTTCATAAGAACAGAGTAATGTTTTAAGCAAGATGACATGATGTAGAGGGATAAACTCATGCAATATGATATAAACCCCATCTTTTTATCCTCGATGACAACAGTACAATACGTGCCGTTCCCCTACCATCACTGGGATCGAGCACCGCAAGATTGAACCCAAAGCTAAGCACTTCTCCCATTGTAAGAAAGATCAATCTAGTAGGCCAGACCAAACTGATAATTCGAAGAGACTTGCAAAGATAAACCAATCATACATAAAAGAATTTAGAGAAGAATCAAATATTGTTCATAGATAAACTTGATCATAAACCCACAATTCATCGGATCTCGACAAACACACAGCAAAAGAAGATTACATCGAATAGATCTCCAAGAAGATTGTGGAGAACTTTGTATTGAGATTCAAAGAGAGAGAAGAAGCCATCTAGCTACTAGTTATGGACCCGAAGGTCTGAAGTAAACTACTCACACATCACCGGAGAGGCCATGGAGTTGATGTAGAGGCCCTCCGTGATCAATACCCCCTCCGGCGGAGCTCCGAAAAAGGCCCCAAGATGGGATCTCTCGGGTACAGAAGGTTGCGGCGGTGGAATTAGGTTTTCGTGGTGCTCCTGGATGTTTGTGGGGTACATGGACTTATATAGGAGGAAGAAGTAGGTCGGTGGAGCAACGAGGGGCCCACGAGGGTGGAGGGCGCGCCCAGGGGGGTAGGCGCGCCCCCTGCCTCGTGGCCTCCTCGATTGTTTCTTGACGCCCACTCCAAGTCTCCTGGATCACGTTTGTTGAGAAAATCACGTTCCCGAAGGTTTCATTCCGTTTGGACTTCGTTTGATATTCCTTTTCCGCGAAACACTGAAATAGGAAAAAAGATAGCAATTTGGGCTGGGCCTCCGGTTAATAGGTTAGTCCCAAAAATAATATAAAAGTGTAAAATAAAGCCCATTAACATCCAAAACAGATAATATAATAGCATGGAGCAATCAAAAATTACAGATATGTTGGAGATGTATCAAGCATCCCCAAGCTTAATTCCTGCTCGTCCTCGAGTAGGTAAATGATAAAAAAGAATTTTTGATGTGGAATGCCTTCTAACATATTTCTCAATGTAATTTTTCTTTATTGTGGCATGAATGTTCAAATCTGAAAGATTCAAGATAAAAGTTTAATATTGACATAAAAATAATAATACTTCAAGTATACTAACTAAGCAATCATGTCTTCTCAAAATAACATGGCCAAAGAAAGTTATCCCTACAAAATCATATAGTCTGGCTATGCTCTATCTTCACCACACAAAATATTTAAATCATGCACAACCCCGATGAAAAGCCAAGCAATTGTTTCATACTTTTGATGTTCTCAAACTTTTTCAATCTTCACGCAATATATGAGCGTGAGCCATGGACATAGCACTATATGTGGAATAGAATGGTGGTTGTGGAGAAGACAAAAAAGGAGAAGATAGTCTCACATCAACTAGGCGTATCAACGGGCTATGGATATGCCCATCAATAGATATCAATGTGAGTGAGTAGGGATTGCCATGCAACGGATGCACTAGAGCTATAAGTATATGAAAGCTCAACAAAAGAAACTAAGTGGGTGTGCATCCAACTCGCTTACTCATGAAGACCTAGGCATTTTGAGGAAGCCCGTCATTGGAATATACAAGCCAAGTTCTATAATGAAAAATTCCCACTAGTATATGAAAGTGATATCATAAGAGACTCTCTATCATGAAGATTATGGTGGTACTTTGAAGCACAAGTGTGGAAAAAGGATAGTAGCATTGTCCCTTATCTCTTTCTCTCTCATTGTTTTGGGCCTTCTCCTTTTTTATGGCCTTTCTATTTTTTTCATCCGGAGTCTCATCCTGACTTGTGGGGGAATCATAGTCTCCATCATCCTTTCCTCACTGGGACAATGCTCTAATAATGATGATCATCACACTTTAATTTACTTACAACTCAAGAATTACAACTCAATACTTAGAACAAAATATGACTCTATGTGAATGCCTCCGGCGGTGTACCGGGATGTGAAATGATGCATGAGTGACATGTATGAAGAATTATGAATGGTGGCTTTGCCACAAATACGATGTCAACTACACGATCATGCAAGCAATATGACAATTATGAAGCGTGTCATAATAACAGAACGG